CATGCTCCTTAATTACCATTAACACACACCTACACACCACACACACACACAAGTTTGTTTTGACTCAGTCCCACATACACCATCCTGCTGCTGTAAAGACTTCCTAATGCCTCAAATGTGTATTAATCCACCGCAGAAAATAGTCCCCAACAAATGTTTTACTCCTATCTGAGTAACATTTACTAAAACCTACAGTTTTAGGTAATTATGACTTGAAACTATATATTTGTGAGCAGGTTATAAAGAGTGAATGGATGAGAAGTTTGTTTTGAAGGTATTTTAATTGTTTACGAAAGAGAGTGCCTTTGAGTTTTCTTCTTATGTTTGTGTCCCCATGTATCCTTATCCAAAGAGCCCCTGAAACAAACTTCCAAACATTTTCTGATACCATTACTTCTTATTGCACCTGCTGGGGACTCTAGACACTCCTGATTGACTTGTGTTTGTTGCCTTCATTGGTTTGGTTGGTTAGGTTTAGGCATGAGCAGTGAGATGATTAGAGTTAGAGGGGGAAAAAAAGTCACAGAATACAGATGAGAAAAGATCTGTCTTTGTGTAAACAGACCAGTACCAAAGTCCAATGAGCTTGTGTGTCTGTCTGTCCTTTTGTATGTGTGTGAAGCAGCCATCCGAGGTCTGGCACACCACTGCATTTGAAAACAGAGTGATTAGTCAATAAGCAGTGACAATCAACTCACCTGGCACTGCTCTCCACACCTCATCTCTCTCCCTCCTGCAGCTGAATGTTAACCACTCCCACCTCCACAATGCTCTGCAAAAGAAAAACCATTGTGCTCCTAAAAGCTTCTTTGCAACACGAGTAACATGAATTCCAAAACCGAACTCGAGAAGTGTAGATCCCCTCCTGTCCACGCTGTAATGTGGTCACAAGTTGTTATGTTCACGTTAGACAGGACTTGCATTATCACAACAGCCAGTAAGGTTTAGTTGGTAGAGCAATCTCCAGAACTGCCGGGGTTAGCTGTTAGTTTTCCATTTCTAAATCTAAAATAAAATATATGAAGTCATGGTGCTGTCAGGTGCCTGGGATAAAAGCATCAGCATAACAGCATATGCTCTGTGGGGAACTCCTCACGAGCTGTAGATCCATCAGTTCACATGGTACTGTATTATTCTGACTGAGGAGGCTGGATGGATGCAAGGATAGTATGATTTATTTATATAAGACTGGGCCTGTCTTCATGTGTGTCTGAAGCCATAAAATATAGCAACACAGAGACGATAAGTGGATAAGATCCCTCCCGTGAGGCTGTATTGTACTTTTTAAAAGGAGCACTCTAGAAATGTAAAGTTTCAAAGTTGGGAGCTCTGCCAGATATAGATGTAAAAAAGAGTCTCTAAAAGTCTCATTTCACGACTACTATCAATAAATATCAATGATAGTGATAATTATATGAAGCAGAATAAAAAATGTATTATGTATACTCATGTAGCAGTTTTAACACAAATGGCAAAGTGCTTGACAAAGTCCTATGAGTCGCCACTCTTGCTTTAGATCTTATAACCAAGTTATTTTAACACTTTTATTTATAGATGTGTCATACATTTATTTATTCACTTACTTTTCCTTTTAGTCAGCACACAGATGTACTTTTAAGTAGAAAAAAGCCTGGCACTGAGCTTTTAAATATTTTGTGAATAACGGCCTTGTGATCTCTCTATTTACAGAACCTTCTGAGCATTTGAATGACTAAATGGGAATATCAGAAAATCTGCAAAGACATGTCAATATTGACATTGTCTTAGACTACAAACAGTGCTGCAAGTTTTATATTTGATTTGATGCTAAATACAGCCAGTGTGACTTATTTCTTACTGTGATGTAACGGGTGTGGGTATATATATCCAGAGAACTGATGATTTCTGCCAACCCTGAGATAGTGTTTATCGTGTATTTTTTAATAGGCCTTTAGCAATTTGTTTTACATGACAAGTATTTGGATGTGGCTTTGGTGCTGTTGCAATTAAAGAGACATAATCTTCGTTCACCCTATAAAATAGTCATGTTTGAATTTTATGGAACAGAAATAAAAATATTAAGGAAAGTTATTTCTCAAAGTGGAAAAACATTGAAATATATGAAGGGGAAAAAACATCTCCACAGCCCTCGAGTTTGCCCTTGACTTTTAAGCATAGCGCCACTCTGATTGAGGGTTTTGTTAAACTGTATCACTTGTGTCAAATCTCAGATACCCCTCGACATGCTGACTGTAATTAGTTCCAAGATTAATCCGCGCAAGCATGGTCAAATGTGGTCTTCTCCCACAATGCTTGGGAAATAAAGGCTAGCACGGATAATCAAATAATAGGTGAATATCAATGAATGGACCAAATCACTTTAGTCCCCAGCTCCCTTATGCAATTATTTCCTATTCACATTAATTATTGCTAACAGATGACACTAATGACTTTGAGAGGAAGCTGGCCATGCAAACGATCAATGCTATTTTAAATGGGGTCACAGCACTTGACACCTTTGGGCCCCTTTGATTGGAAATGGCACCGATGCAAACAGCATCTGCAGCATGCCAGTGTATAGTGCCAGCAGTTCCTATTAACAGACTTGGCTTAAGACCCACATCTTTCACAGATAAGTGGAACTGAAGACATTGAACACTGGTATTTTCTAGTAGATAATTCTGACTTAAGCACATTTTCAGTACATGTTTATATCTTTCCTATCAAAATCTTAAAATAGATTGATAGAGTCCATACTTTACCCTGTGTAATAATCAAAGATGCCATTTTCATTTTGTAACACTTGTCCAGTGTGTAACATTTAGGAGGATCTATTGACAGTAATTAAGTATAATGTTCGTAGATGTGTTTTCATTAGTGTATAATCACCTGGACTTTTAAGGCTTTGTTGGCACTAATGGTGGTTTTCATTAGTCCGAAAGTGGAGCTGGGAATGACATCACATCCGAGTTGACTGAGTTCTTGTACAACAAGTCGCGAAACCAAACTCTAGCCAAGTTAGCAATACCAGTTGTTAACAACAGATTACCCTCTATTTTCATACTCATACAAACATAACAGAAGTTGGACAGCAATGTCTTTGGCTGATTTAATAAGACAAAAAAGACAGAAGTGCATCTTGGATTTTGAAGTTGGGGTTGGTGAGGTCTTTTTTTAGTTAGAAATCTGATTTCAGGGGGCGTTCTGGTTCTAATAATTGACTGGGAGTTTGGAAATTCTGACTTCAAACGCATTGCACAATAATTGTTCATACTTACAGAGAACAGACACATTTATTTTCTGACACATTTCTCAATTTCAAAAGTTTCAAAAAGTGAAATTTACTTATACTGCATTTTTTATTTATTGTTTGTCTTATCTGAAAATCTGTTTTGTTAATAAGGACTTTGAAATTGAAAAGCATGTGCTTACCAGTTTCTATTTGCACCACTAAAGAAATAAAGCATTACAAATACATTAATAAAGTGTGATAATATAATCATAGACGAGATCAAATCAGGTTTTTGTGATGGTGAGGCAATATTCTGTGGGAAAACAGCTGCTCAAATGAATAATTGGACATTTGAAATGACAAGCTAAACAATCATTTCAGCACTAACATGTCAAGTTCAATGAAGTATTATATTAAAGTATCACTTTTACAACAAAGACAGGGTTACAAATAATCCATTCCACTTAGAAATACACTGGTACCAACAGTTCTTCTGAATAATTCAACCACAGAATATGAGAAAAATGTCCACTCTTTGTCTTGTCAGTTGTTAGTTTGTCTCTTTGTCTCTCTGAGACACTGTTATCTATGTTATCTATGTTCTCCAGAAAACCAAAAACAAAGTGGCTACAAGGTGTGTAGCATTTTTTTTACAGCTGGGTGTCAGCTATGAATCTGATTCAGTGTTACTATGAAATTATCGGATGGCTGCTTGGTCACTAGAGGAAACTGCTGCATCTGCTCTTCAGACATAGAACTGGGGAGTCTAGTCCAAAATAAAAAGTATGCAGTGAAAGTCCTTTCAAGACTTTCAACATTCCTTTCAAAGCTACCTCTGCCATCACATCTTTACCTTTTAAGTATTTTGCATCAGACATTGTTAGAGAAAATATTCTGTGATATCTAGTGATATCTCTGAGTTATACTTTTGCCTGCTATTACACAAACTATTCAATTAAGAGGCTTACAATGCACTTTTCTTTCCTCTGTCACAATGAACAGGCACAGTCTGTACACATGGCTGCTCTGGTATTCACAGAAAACTGTTCTTTTTCAGCATGCTTTCAAAAGACTCCAGTCAGTGAAAGATATTAATAAGAATAATCTGAGACATAGAAACACTATGTGAAAGTTGATTTTGGTTCCTTTTTGTGGACTCAACCAAAGAGCATCTTCATTTAACACCCACTAGTCATAGTGCAGTTAAGTTTGGATTATGATTGAACAACAGACACCAAGAGGCTCCATGCTCAGTGAATAGTCTGCCTTCTTAAAATGTTTCATTGACCAACTCCCAAAGTAATCATGATATGTACACTTGAAAGACCAGAGAAACATGAAAACACATTGTATTTTACAACGGGATCCATCTAATTAGTGGAGTGGAAAATGTTATTCCATTCTTCAATTAGCCTTTGGTTGGAAAGAGACATCTATGTATCCAGAATATTGATTGTCTGAGAGCTGAGACAATGACAAATGGAGAGCCATGGGGCATTCTCATAGGTTGCGTATATCGTCTGCAAAAGGAATCTATTGAATATAATGTCAGAGATTAGGTGGATGAACAAAGTTCAGTTAATTTGTGCGAACGTGAGCCATAATTACCATATTTGTCAGTACTAATAAATTAAATCGTGTATCCTATAAATATGTCTTTTGTCAATGCAGTCTTAATTTGCAAGGATGATTTTTGTAATTTACTGGACTGTTTTCATAATTGGTTTTTGCTTCCTTATAGTGTTTGATTAATTTCTGCTGATTGATTACATAATTAATTATTTTCCAGGAGGTCCAAAGGAATGGAAAAGCAGGTATTCCTGCAGGAAGGTGGCCCAGCCTGTTGAGTCTAACATGCCCACGCAGTAGCGGTAGCGGCAGTGGCAGTGAACTGTCACTATCCAGTGCTTGTAGTGAGTACTCAAGTGGCTCCCACACTTGGGCTGAGGGACGTGGATGCTCCAAGCAGGTGGGTTTCATTTATCTTCCCTTAAACTTCCTGCAATTTTAAGTATAAGTTATCAAAGTAAAGGGATCTTGAGTTAAAACAAGTAATCCATCTCTAGATGCCATTTCAATAATTGCAAATATCTCTTATAATGCAGTGCGCTACAAGCCGGGACAAAAGGATGAGCGCAGGTTCAGTATCCAGCAATCATTCTGCACCCATCGAGCAAACAGACTTGGGATGGAAGGAAGGCCACATCCTGAAAGGTCTGAAGCGTCTCCAAATGTGCAGCTCCAAAGACGCATCCTCACATGCATCTGTACCACACTGCAAAGATTGTATGACCTCCAATGAGGGCATATACTCACTTGGTGTCAAGTGTGGCTTACAAGGGAGTGCAGCCAAGCAAGTAGCCCCTACAAGTAAACCTTTCAAGGCCGGTGCAGGAATCGCTGCCCTAGACTCTGATGATGCATATGAAGATTCATCTAAATTACAAAGTAAGGAATCCAGTGACCAACCAACAAAAGAGCTTCTTTGCTTGGAGAAACTGGACGTCACAAGGGATGATGACAACAATTTTCAAGAAGTCCCTGAAAAACTTGCAGGGAATTCTGGTGTTTTTCCCTCACCTGTCACAGACAACTTCTTATTTTTGGAGGGCCCCACAGTAAAACCTGGGGCAAGCCCAACAGATAGCCTTATGCATCTGGAAGAAAAAAACAAAGACTCTCTAGAAAAACACAAGCCTTCAGGTATGAAGCTAAGTGATAGAAACAATAACCAGGAAAGGTCTACTGACCGTAAATCCAGACTTGATCATGTCAAAAGACAACAAGGTAAACTTGCAGTCAAGCAAGTTGAAGCAGGGACAAGTGATATGAGCTCTTCTATTCAGAATTGTGCAACAAGAGCTTTGAGCTGTGTGAACGTAGCCAGACAACGCAGCTCCTCAATGGAAGTTCCCCACTGCAGAGGCCAGGCATGTCAAGCTGGCAGTGAAAGCCAGCACTACACCATCTCAGAATTCCCACAGAGGAAACCTAAACCTCAGCTTTGTGAGTCAGCAAGAAAGGCTTTCATTTTGCGGAGCAAGAGTGCAGATGCAGGACAAGAACAACAAAAGCATACACATTCTCCTCTCCACCAAAAGCTTATTAAGGGTCAGAGGTCCAAAGGACAGTCAAACCCTCCGGGGCACAGCGTTCCTAGCAAAAGGACCAATCTCAGTAAAACAGAAGGTTCAAGCAAGGGAGCATTATCTGAAGTTGAGAAAGATAAGGACATGCCAGTATCAACAAGTTCCAAGTCTCTCAAGAGTGTACAACAGCGCTCTCCCCTTGCCTCCCCTGTGAAGCATTCAAAGACGTTTAAATCTCCAGGGATCAATGAATGTTTAAAGAGCCCAACAAAATCCCCATTACAAATGACTAGACTTAAATCAAGCAGTGACTCTGTGGAAGAGAGCATCTATGACAACTTACCTTGCTCTCCACGTAAACAACGACGCCAAGACCAGCACTGTGATGTTTCCCGTTCAGAAATTAGGTCCCCATCCCCACCACCACTCCCAGGTCGAACTACTTCTCTTCTTCTGAGACCCAGTTGCGACAGCTTACCCAAAGCACATAAATCTGCTGGACAGGCTCGAAGCTCTACTACTGGGAAGATACCATCAAGCACCACCAAGCCACAGTCAAATCAGCTTTCTCCTATTTTACAGCCTCAACAATCTAACACAACAAAAGACAATCAACATACAGCCCCACAAATAGGTGCTGAAGGTAAGCCACAAAAAGATTTCCCTGCCAAAGTCTACCATACCCACTCATCCAAGATACCACCTGTCCCAGTTCAAGAGTCACAAGCTCCAGAGTCAGTCCAGTTATCTATGGACAGATCTGCCATGTGCCATGATGAGAATGGTGCCTCCCCTATATTGCCAAGCCAGAGCATCTTACAAAGATCCCAACAAAGTATTAGTGAGCCAAAACTTTCAGAAGTCTTGCCTCATACATATTCTAATGTTTACTATCATGGGATTGCCAATAATCTTCAGAGTTCAAGAGCTGTAAAAATGGCTCTTCCTATAAATGCTAAATCTCATGAGGCAATCTCTGGACAGGAAAACAGTACCTTCCTAGTTTTTGGAAGACAGAACAAAGATGATACAAACCCTACTACGAAAAGTGTCCAGACCTTTCAGACTTTCACATGTGATCCCCAGATGATACATGAACGTAGTGCTAATGACAAAGCCCGCAGAAAGATTGAGACCCGCTGTAACTCACTGGATTCTGAGCCCACTGTTCAACCTGTACCATCAGACAGTGGAGTGATGTTAGATTGGGGATTTGATGAGGAAGGTTGGCTATTTAAACGGTCTGTGTCTGTGTCAACTAGACCTCCCCTTAAACCAGTAATGGGCATGAATGGGGCCAAGGCTCGTAGCCAGAGTTTTGGTGCACGCTACATGGACAGGCCAAGCTTCAACAGATCTGGAAAGGTCCGTACCCAGATCAAAACACACTCAGGGAGCTCCTTGAACTCTCTTAGTGATGTCCTTCCAGGAAGTATGAGTTGCTCCAGTAGCTACCATTGCCCAATGAATCGATCCCTTCTGAACAACTTCATGATTGAAGAGGGCCTGACAGTTCCCTCACATCTGGGATCCTCCAGTGAAAGACTTCAAAGTCTTAAACAACAACGAGAGCAGGCTAGGCGCCTTCAGATTGAGCAACAATTTTCAAGTGCATTTGGTGAGCCAGTTTCTGAAGAACCAGAGAGACAAAGTACTATAACCACAATTGAAGAGAAAGTGATGCTTGGAATAGAGGAGAACTTGCACAAGACTCAGGAACAGGAGAGAACCATTGAAGTGAAACAAAAATCTGGCTCAACTTTGGCAAATTGGTTTGGCTTTCGTAAGAGTAAGCTTCCTGCTCCAAGCAGCAAAAAGACTGATCCATCGAAGGTAAAAGAGGACAAGAGAGAGCAAAAGATTACATCGCTCCTGGGAGGAAAGCAGACAAAGTCTGACAAAAAGAAAGACAGAAGAAAAAGCGATGGAAAAGACTGGTAAGAAATCTTTTGACTCTGAACTCTGTGAACTTAACACAATTCCTTCCAAGGTTTGATGTTGAGATTTTCACTTCATTTGAATTTTTATCTCAACATTAAACCTTCAGTGCTTGTTCCAGCAGACTTTCTTATAGCTTACTGCCAATGAAGTGATTTACTGCCTCAGATGACTTCGCTCATTTTTATTAAGTGGCCTTAGACACATCTGTCAGTGTCCCTAGCCCTGAGACCAGTTGAGACACATTTCATACAAAGGATTGCCGTCAGGTTTCAAGAGATATAGGGTAATTTATCAGCCAAATCTCCAGAGGCATGTTGAGTCAATATCAGACAATCTTTGTATGTAGTGGTTTGTTGACAAACTGTTTTCTTTCAGCTCTGTGGGCAGAAGAGAGTCTCATGATGCAGTGCGGGCATGCATCTCAATGCCCTGCCCAGGAATGTCCCTGAATGAGATACAAGGACACAGTGACATCACTGGGGACCCAAAGGTAAATCAAATCATTACCAAATACAAATGTATTTAATTGGTACACAGCCAATTTTAGTTCTAATCACAAATATGTCTTCATGCAAAGATGTACTACAACCCTATTTTATTATGCAGTATATTTATTACAGTAATATGACAATACTCTAATTGCACCAGGAAGACACAAGGAAACAAAAACAACAAAAGACTCAGTGGGATCAAATGAAAACAGAAAAAGGTTACATGACTGTCTTAACAAGTGAGACGTACTTCAGGCTAATTCCACCAGCTGTCCCTCAAACCCGCTTACGCACAGTTTCATCATTTCGGCCTTTATTACCAAGCCTTATTTGAAGACCTTTAAATTTCTCACTGTGTCCATAATTTGGAGCCCATTTATTCATCCAAAGAATGTGAAAAAATAGAGCACTATGATGTAGTGTTGAAAACCTGTGAAACTGTGTACATTAACTTGTGCATGGAGGGCTGCTTGTAGAGGACCTCACATCCCTCCTCCTACCTCCCAAACTCTCAAGAGCAAATCGAGCATATAGATTGCAGTGCATCAGCCAAAATAAATAATGTTGGTGGCAATGGAGAGGCCATGAGATGAAATTGAGGATAGAAGCAAAAGCAAAATGTAGCAAATTCATGAATAAGTTACATTATGACTCTGACACCATCCAGGTTAGGTGTTCATTGTCAGCTATAGCCACACAGGGATTAGTACCAACAGTACAGTATGATAAGGCATGGTAGATAAAGGCAAGAACTAAACAATAATACTGTGCATGTATAAGCTATAAAAGAAGATGTGGGTGAGTCTTTTTTTTCTCCTTCTACAAAAATACAGATGCAGATGGTGAACCTGAGAACTGATGGTGAAAATGGATCCACAGTGAAAAGCCCCAACCAGGATTCTGTAATAGGTCAGATTTTTCTATTCTCTGATTTGGAGAATTGCCCATAATTCTTTACAGTCACTGGAAATAGTAATGGATCCCCCTTAAATGTCTTGGTACCTGAAACAAATCTAAGCTAACTTAATAGCGAGGTTTGCTGTGTCAATTCAAGCATGCTAGCCTTAAGGTTGTATCTGTGCTTACCATTTTACAGTTTGCAGACAGAAGTGAAGACCAAATATGACATATATGTGTAAGTCATAAAATGATAAATATGCTATAAGCAGTCAAACAAACATGCAAAATGCAGAATTCTGTCAGTGTGTGCTTTTGCCTCCATATTTATGTTCATTTTATTTGTTCTGCCTCTGCATTTCTTGTTTTGGGTGGCAACTTGGATCAGGACAAATAGGAACCATTTCACCACAGTTGTATTTCACGCAGAGTTTGCCCATTAATGGGGATATTGTTTATAGCCTTGACTGCTCATCTTCACAGATCCATGCACTGAAAGTTTGCATGCACAGGCTCATCCAATCAGGATGAGCCTATTCATCCATATGAGGGCCCAAGCTCCCCCCTGGCCAGCCTTAGTAGAAAAGTGGACCCACACTGCTGTGGGAAGATCAACTGGATTGTTCCTGCACTGAATGCGATTGTGATATTGAGTTGGACTGAGGACAGGATTATCCTTTGTACAGCCCATCAATTAGTTAAAGTAAGCCAAGTGGCACAAGTGGACAAACAAAGCTGCTGTTACAGATATGCAGCAGTTTGACATGGTTATGTTTTAAAAAAATGTTTTTGAGTAGATTGGATCAATCCAAAGGAGCTTTTTTACTGAGAGCCATGAGACTTCTTATTAACTACACTCATTTACAACAGTATTTTTTTATAGTGCACAGTTAGGCCATCAAATCACAGCCCACCCTAGTCTTTATTGAAAGCTTACTTATAGCCCCTGTAATAGTGAGTTTAACTCATGGGGTCTGGCTCTCCTGAGATTTTTTTAGGTTTTTAGGTTCCTCATACATACATGCTTTTTAAGTAGGACTGTGTGTTCATCTAAATAGCTTTGTATCTATCAGATTAGCCAAAAAAGTAATTCTTAGGTTAATGGAGAGGCCAAGTACTCAGTGAGTGGCTCATGTTGTAAGTCCAGGGAATCTTAAGGTGTTCTTGAAGATGAAACAACAGAACCGAAAACAAAAATGTCTTCAGGCACTTTAGGCAGACCAAGTGGAGAAGTTATATTGAATGCCTTTATTTAGTTTTGCATGTTGGTTTGACCACCGGCAAGTTTTGTCCTCTCTCCATCTGGGTGGAAAGAGTAAAAACTGATTTTAAAAAACCAACAACAATATTTTTATCACAATCATAATGAAATAATACAAATACAGAGGAAACAGCTTGAATACTTTTTAGGTCTTTCACTACACCCAAGTACACAAGGCTAATGAAATTCAGTAAAAGCAATGCGCAAATACTCAGAGAGCTATTGAAAAATGTTTGAAAGGGACCATAATTACTGGTATACCAACCAAATATATACTTGCAGTTGTACATAATACAAATTAAAACGGAGTATGAAAATTATTAGATCACTGAAAATCCGTGCTAGAAAAGATCCACTTGGTTTCTTGTAAATGAGAGCCACTCCAATTGGGTCAGCTGTGGGTCTAATTGTATTGTGTCAAGTCTAATGACTGAACAACCCAAAAGATAATGGTGCGCCATAATCACCACAGGAGAAAAACATGTTTTTTGAGGCAGAGAGAGAGCGAACAGTGATGTAAAATCCAATGCACTGCTGCTTTTTCAATAGCTGATGCTCATTAATAGGTGATGCATCGTGTTGCCGCCAGTATTGGTGTTTTCTCCCAGTCTGGGTCAGTTTGGTTCAGGATCACCTGTCCCTAGGTCCTTTTCAGATTTATGCACACCAGGTTTGGGGTTTCCACGTGTCCATTTTGGGTTAAGTGCAAAACCTTGGATTAGTCAAAAAAGAGAGAAAGACAGACGAGTAAGAGGGTGAAAGTAGACAGGAAGTAAAACTTTCTTTGCTCCTCATTTCATTGCAGTCACTAAATTAAAAATAGCAGCAGATAAAACTCTCCACATCGCTCAGGTAGAGGACTGGTGACAAACCCTGATGAAATTTCATTGACCAGAGTGGCACCATCGGCAAGACGCTGCAAATATCAAGCATGTTTGATACGGACTGACGCCTGCCCTCAGGGGTTAATCACCTCATTAAAATTTCAGCACTGCACCAGCTAAGCACGCTCATCCAAGCCACAACTGAGTCAATTAACTTTGCCTTCAGCTGTGAGCTGAATTATACCGTCCAGACTTGGCATAAACTTGTTGGGCCTCATGTAGAGTTGACAAAATGATGCTTTAAAATAAGACAAACCAAAATAAGTTCTGTACAGATCAACAAACATTCAAATAATGTCTATAGTGTTAGATAACACTAAGAAACTACAATTGTACAGGTTTTGGCTGTGGATTTGGAATAATCAATCTTCACTATTCTTTGGTGAAGTTATTTCTTATTAAATCGGACTTCTTATTCTAAAGGCCAACTGATTTAATTGAACTGTGCACAGATCTTATGTGTAAATTACATATTATGTGCACCCCTGTGAGTTCCCAAATTGGAGAAATTTCTATTTTATATTTTTGGTTCCATGATGGCACCCCCTGGCTGTGCAATAACCAGTCAGAATGTAATTGGTTCTGCGTCTACTTAGAAAGGGATTTTTGTTTCATATCAAACAGCAACATTAACACTATTATTACATTATACAAATAGTATCCTATGTTTTAAAAAGCAGAAAAATTATCACTCCAGTGTCCTCTTGACATCGAGCAGGTATTGACTGCTCTTGGTACAATCAAGAGGAGATGTGAGAAGGATAAAAACCTCACCGTCCATGTTAAAGGCTTGTTGAAACCAATCAATTCTCAGCCTCTGTGATTCTGCCTTTCCAGGGAAGACTGTGTCACAGCGGTTCTTGTTAACTTCCAACTTAAGACCAAACTAATCAATAATGTCTCTGCTCTATGTCTTCTCAATTCAATTATTTCTTCTTGTTTACAACAAGGTAAAAATACTCATTTTCATCTCAGGCAATGCTTCACTAACAGATAGAGACACTTAAGACTAATTCTTGATTAGCACTAGTCATATGTTGACTGTTAACTGTAATGGATGTTAGACAAGTTGCCAGGATGTGTCCGTAACTCATGCTTTAAATAAAGTTACTCTGAGATGTTTTCAATGCTGTGTACATTTGAACGTAACCTATAATTTTACCTGAGTAGTTAGTATGACGTGAAAGGTAAAACTGCTACTATGATACTGCAATGTTTCTCTGTTTTCCCAAGACTGAATTTCCATGCCAACAAATAGCTTCAACTTTATTTGTACATTTTTAACCTTACCCTATTCACATTTTCATATTTGTTAGAACAGCATGACTTGTAATGTGACAAATCTGAAAAACTCAATTAATTTGAGCACTCTAGCTTCAAAAACGAAATAAGGAAAAAGTGAAGAAAAATGAGCTTGTAGAAACCCAGAAGAGGGGTGTGAAGTCTCATGTGTGCATGCCTTAATTAATAAAGGGGGAGCAGCTGTTGCTTTTGCTCCGGTGTGTGATTGCCTACAGGTTCCTGCTACGGGGTACATATTAAACTGCGAGCCATGGCAACAGCTTGAGGATATCTTTTCTTATTTTGATTTTATGCTGCTGTGATACGCCTGTTTTTTTTAGATAGTGTACTGAAAGATTTGTTTTGAAAGATAGATGATTCCCTGATCCAAATCTAAATGATACAAACTTATTTGAGATGCAAATAAACATGGGTGTAACAACTGTGATATAATATGTAATTCTGGAGGCACAATGTCAGACTTTCGATTAAACAATGCAAATTCTGCATCTTTAATCTTAAAGTTGAGAAACAACACAGTTATGTTTGATATATTGCAAATAAAATACACACATTTGGAGTGTATTTAAATATCATTTCATATGCCATTCTGTACATTTCATATTCACAGTGTGATCAATGCATGCTAGTCGTTACACACCCATTAAACAGCATCTGTAATGAAAAGCAGTGGTTCAAGTGGGCTTGATTTGCATTGGGCGAGTCATTCTCTGTGGCAGGGCTACATGTATGGTGTAATTAGCTAAGCAAATCATTACCCTGCCTCACATTCATGTGTAATAAGATTGTACTGAACCACCATTTTTCAACTTGGCTTTTAAGAGGAAACCATTGCCAAGTTTAAGATTGAGTAAAAAAAAGAGAACAGACTAACCATCTGTTGCGTGTCTTCTTTGAAAGGACCAAAACACAACAATAGGATCGGCTGCTTAAAGCCCAAAGCAACAGTAAGGATAATGCCGCAGGAATAACATGGAAATAATTAATTATTGATTGGTAAAGCTGCCCTCATTTGAGCTTTTTCACTGATTCACATCTTCAGTTATTATTTCTAGCACAGAATGAGAGGCAGTTTTTTCTCCAAGTGGAACAGCTTTACACAGACTTTACATATATTTTAAAGGTTTCTTTAGCACCACTTCAACCATGGTTACCCTGTTGTTTCATTCCTGTTGTGCTCCCTCTCTCTCCCGCTACCCTGAGCCACTTCAACTGTTCTCCCTGTGCCGCAGGCTTCGGCTGCAAGATGCGAACGTTGGACAGTGGAATCGGGACCATCCCCCTTCCTGAATCCTGTTCCTTCTTCTCCTCCATCCTGCACCTCCTCCCCAAATCCACATCAACCCCAGAACAGTCCCTCAGTCCTCCTAGTGTCCCTGGTTCCTCCAGCGAGGACGTGTCTCCTTCCCCATTACCCCGGTGGAGAATACCCTCCAGCTTTAAGGACAGCAGCCATGCAGGGGTGCCAAGCTCCCTGTCCGACTCCTCCATGACCCATATCCAGTCAGTGCCTTTCCCCACTGTGGCCTTCCTCCAGCCCATCCAACCCCAGTCTCAGCCCATTGTGACCTCTGCCAGTGTGTGTGATTCCCAGAGCAGGCTACCCAGACCACCACAAGGTACAGTAACGCAATAAAAGTCAGCAAGAAGCAGGACTGCAGAAGTAGTGCAGGTGATGCTTGTAGGGTTTTCTTCTTTTTTGTGCTGTGGATTCATCTGGTCTCATGCAGGAGCATTTTCATATTTTATGTTAAAGGTCTCTTACTTTTTCTGTAAGGTTTGCTTGTAGAAGTAATTATTTAGCTAACACTCTTAACTGCACAAACCGCTCCATTTGGAGCATCAAGGTCTGCTTTTGTAAATCAGCATTTAACAATTTAGCATTGTCAGTAGTAACAGGGGATGCAAAAAATTGAGAAAATATGGCCATGGTTGTCAGCATTGTGTCATTGCAGCACCAGAAATGTTGTGACAGAAATAAAGCAAGAATTGTTTGACATGAAGTTAGAGGCCAAAAAATGTCTTGCTTAAATGAAGTGGTCCATTACTTCAACTTAGACTTAGTCTAGGGATGTGATAGTCACGGAGATGGATGAGTGACGCGTTCAGTTATAAAGACCATGAGCTAGCAAACCTAAGGGGGCGAAGCGAAACATTATTTTTGTTCAACAAGCAGCGAGTCTTCCAAATTATTCTTTTGATCCATGTCTTCTGTCTGCCTTGAAATACAGGATTATATAAGCAACACCAACATTTAAATCCAATGTTTCTGCAGACTGCACCACCCGCTGTGCATATGTTCCAGGGAAGAAGAAGAGCACAGCAGAGCGGCGCAGTCAGTGGAAATATTTTAACATTGGCTTCGCCATAAGCAAACATCGTATCATTCAAGGCAGATAGTAGACGTCTATGAGATCACTAAAATACCTTTGAAAATGGAACCCACTGCTGGTTACAGGTTAAAATATAACATTTAGAATTGTATCCAAAGGTTTGCATAGCAAACTGAATCACGAATCGATGTGCGTCACAAATCACAGCTAACCCTGGCAGCTGGTGGAGTGGGAGGATGTTTCTAGCAACTACTGAACTGTAGGTAGTCAGACCATAATACTTAGTTGAAGTAAATTATTTTAGTTGATTTTATTAACTCCAAATTCCTTCAGATTAGAATTAGCATTATAATTCCTTAATCTGTCGGTACACACTTTTTTAATGTTCTCACTCATCGTACTTGCCACTTAAAAACAAATAGAAATATTTAAATACACTACACTACATTTATATTACAGAGGTCCAGGGATCCTTTTTAAAATGGCCATGCCAGTTTGTCCATCACCAAAATTTAGCCTAACTTTGGAGAATTATTTTGCCTTCCCAACATGATAGCATGACATGGTACCATGGTACCGATGGATGTGCTTCGAGTTTTATATGATATCACTCTCTTCACTCCAGCTTTAAGAGTCTGCTATATCCTTTGAAACACAGTGTGAGTGAATTAAAACTTTAAAAAAGTTTAGCAATGTCAAAGTAGGGTTTTGCTGGGTGTATTTGTGCTGCTTCTAAAACTGCTCCGGAAGTGGAGTTTACTAACCAAATAAATGGAAAGCTCCTCCACTAAACTCCTGTGCTCATCTCATAGACCAAAATTGAAAGTTAGGATAAAGAAATGTAATCTTTACACATAAATAGCCAGTTTTGATTCAATAAATTGTGCTCTACGGTAAAGAACAGGCTGTAAACCTTTCTGCCGTATGTTGTAGCTCCTTTAAAAAAGGATGTCTCCAATGGAAGTTCTGCTTGGGTAGCTCATTATTCATTTATCTATTCTAAGGAGAACTTCAAAGCCACATTCTCACATGAGGAAATGCATTTCATGAAGATTCATTCCTGTCATGTTCACTGCTTTAGTTTCACAAGTGTGCCAGGGAATTTGAAGGAGCAAATATCTATATATAACTACATATAATAGACTACTGAAAGCAGCAGTGGTTATAATGTGTCATCACGACACTGATAGCCTTCACGCAGGAGGACACATTGTGGACATGGTCTGCTCAGTATGTTAATCAGACAGCATGTGTCACAGAAAAACACTCATTTTCTCTGTCAAGATAAAAAGATGCATTTTGTGTGTTGGTAGCTTTTAATGGGTCATGTTTTCAGAGTGAAGCCCCAAGGGTTCTCCACCACACAAACAATATGTAGCCTATTTGCACCTGCTCTGTTTAAGAAGGGGGGGGGGTTAGAAGTGCATATGGCCACAGCACAGTTCAACTCATTCTGTGGCTGTAATAAGAAAGATTAACCTTTTGCTAAACCCCCTTGGTTATTGTTGCCTGTCAAGCTTTGCAGTTTGCAGTGATAACGCTGGCAGATTTACCACTCGCAGTTTTAAACAACTGGTCCTTGATTTCAAAAAGAGGCAGACAAAAACAGGCTTCTCGTTTTAGCCTGCAAAGCTAACTGACAACTGTTTGTGGCAGATTGTATTACCCCTAGCTATTTAGCTTATTAGTTATTTTATTATACTTAATATCTTTCACTTCTGGTGTGTTTGTCAGATGTAGCTAATGAGACGCTAACATTAGTCTAAACTCTAATATTGTAGCCTCGAGGACCAGCTCTCACAAAATGGGGAAATACTACACAGTGCATGTGGAATGAAGCTTTTGTCGAACCCCACAAACAGCTTATAAAATGCTCCTTGGGCTAATAAGTAACTCACGGTTTCTAAGGAGCCACACATATAACCACAGATAAACTCAGTTAAATTAGAGACAGGGCAGATTGCTAAGATTACATCAGACTGAATGTTGGTGAAATGTATATTTGAATGTTTGTCTCCTGAGGGACTTTTCCTTTTACAAACAGTGAATACTTTTGGCTGTTTGATATAAGCAACCTAAACTGTCACTCCATATCTGGCAAACTAAAATCTAGCTTCATTCGCACAGTGTTTCAGTTGAGCTCAGTTCCGATGGTTGCCACTTTAAAATGAGAATTATAGATTCATTATGTTTCAAGATGTCAGACCTCCTTTCACTTTGAATTCAGAATGATAATCTTGCTCTCTTTGAGGATGTCACATGTCACTCTGTCAGTGTCACTCTGTTCTCTGAACTCTTTGAGTATTTGACTCCTCTGCTTGAAAGGAGAGAGAATTAAATCTGACTGCTGAGAAAACCTCTGAAATGAGTTTCATTTTGTGGTTTTTCCAGGTGGATTGGAACCAAAGAAGTTGACCTATATCAAATCGAAAACACGAACTACTCCGAGCCAACAGAAAGAACAGACAAGACTTCAGCTTGCCAACTGTAAGACGCAATGCCACAGGTTTATTTAGGAGACACATTTAGGAAAAACATCAGCTCAAAAACCACGTTATGTTCTGTGCCAACATTTTTCACATTTTTAGTCTGCGATTTTAAAGAGAAGTTCCTTCTTAATACTATACAAAAAAAATAATGAAATGATTTCTGGTGATCACCTCTGAAAGTCACAGTGACCCAACTCACCTCCTGAAAGGAAGAAAGTTCCTGATTCCAGACAAAATGAATTCACAAGTGTTATTGCACCCTTAAAATGGATGTTCTGCCCCAGCCTTGGAGAATACAAAAGAATACTGTAATCAAATTCACTTTACAGCTTAAAAACTCTCCAAATGTTAATTAAAAAATGTTTTTTTATAAGAGTTTTATTTGCAAGTGTGTTATAAATTAAAAGGTTTTTCAACTTTTTATTTCACTTATTGCAAAAATGTCTTGTCCGACATATTCAAACTTTATAAACTGTCACTACAAAGATGATAAAAACTGCAACAAATTCATTTGTTCACATTGTGCGAACAGCACCGTTCGCCTCAAAAACTACACTTTCCCGTAAAACTCATTTCCATCCCCACTGAGCAGAAATAAGCTTAATGGTGGCAACTAAACACATGACTAACACAAGTTTCCCAAACATCATTTGCATCTTACTACAGTACATTAACGCTGGGATTTACAGCGTGTGTGTGTGTGTGTGTGTGTGTGTGTGTGTGTGTGCGTGCGTGCATGCATTCGTGCGTGTGTAAGTTAAACAACCAGCCACAGGTTTGAGGCTGCTCATGAGCGTCACACAACATAGTCATGAAGAGTATGTGTTGCCTTTGGGTCTAGAGATTGACTCCTTTTTTTACTCACAGAAATACACTCATACAGAGGTTTAATGCTCTGTACAATATTAAAACGCACATATACTGTGAACTGTTTAAGTAGCTGATTCACAGTATGTAGGGAAGCGTGATGCAGCTTCACCATCAACATGCAGGGCAGCATGTTTCTTCAAAGATCATCTCCAGCCCATTTCAGTCAAATCACAAGTTGTCTATTTGCATTTAAACCACATTTCCTTGTGTAGTGCGACTGAAACTGATACATGTTAAATTTACCTCCAACAACACTTTGATACTATTGAAATCACCATAAACTGTAATTTAAGGTGCTCTGCAGTCAGCAGAAATAATTGCTGACATTCCTTTGAATAAAATTGGTTGTGTATGTGCAGGAGAATTGTACTGCAATATGTGATGTAACCATTCCTGAGGAAGTAAACACACATAATAATACTGAAATGTGCTTCCTTCACCACCACTTATATATAAATATAATAGAAATAATGCATTATATAGACACATTTTCTAACTGTGCATGTTACTTTTCCTTTAAATAACATATTTGTTTTTGGAAATTGTTTGCATGACTCCAGATCTCACTCGGCTCTATCTTCCATTTCAGAACTTATGAAGCTGAATGAATCAACCTGAAACGAGGAATCAGGAAATCAGTTGGATTTATCACTCTAACACACACACACACACACACACACACACACACACACACACGGAGGATCCCTGAATCCCCCAGTTTGGACAATGAGTCTGTGTATCAGGATGAAAACGCTCAGAACTGGAAAACAAGTGAGCTTGGCATTGCAGGCTTCCACCTGTGCTCAGTGTAGTGTGGAGATACTGAGTAGCCTTTCAGGTGTAGTAATGAACCTTCTGGCAGCCATTTTGGAGGTCTGGCATCAGCTGTGGGCAGATGATTAAATGTCTAAATGTACAACAACTCTGCTGTCTCTCACACACATGGTTATTTTTTCTGCTGTTTCCTCCCCCTCGGAGACGTAACATTTATGCAAACACATAAACAGACAGGATTTGTTTTTTTAATTGCAGGTTCGCTAATGTAGCACTTTCATGGCAACCTGCAATCATCACCATCTTATTAACACGTCTGAGTTGCACACGAGTACTAGTACTTGGCTTGGTTTGAGCTAATATTAGTGGCCAGCAGCTTGAGCAGCCAACTGGTTTGTGGACTAGCCTTGAGTTTGGCATTATGGAGGTTTCTTGGAACCAGTATATTAGGACAAGAGTGTGGAGCTGATTGTGGTCACCCTGGTAGCAACTTGTCAGTCACAAGCATACCCTGCTTTGTTTATTTTACTCTAAATGGGACCATCATTTACTAAATGAACAACATGTTGTACAGAAGAAGACTTGGCACTAGTGACTGAGACTATAAACTCATTAGGAAACTGTTTACTGAGTTAATAAGTCAAGTGTTTAGTCGAGACCTTTTCTCATACACTTCTATATAATCAGACCTCTTGTCAAACAGTGGAGTCGCCCCCTGCTGGCCATAACAAAGAATGCAGGTTTAACACTCTTCCACACTGGCTGCAGATTTCAGACCCAGAAGCTTCGTCCACTACTTTATATACAGTCTATGTGTACGACTAGTAATAGTACCGAGAAGAATTTAAGACAAGAAGACAATTTACAGGGTTGCAGTGACCTGGATGCAAAAACTGAACTTACTAAATGGATCTAGTGTTCAGCTGCCATCATTAAAAATTCTATTTCTCACATTGCTCATTACTATGTGGACATTATCAAGGATTTTGTCTACACACAGAAACACATTCAACCTATTTCATACATATATAATTTTGTAGGCTGTTGGTAAAAATAAATGCATTTATTAAGTTTGACCACTAGTAGACAGAAAAAATACATATAATTTTTTTATTACATTTAAGCCAAAATAATAATATTAATATTCTCTATTCTTTATCTTTGTTTTGGTCTCCACCAGCTCTTTAACTTGCTAGCTGTTCGACTGCATGCGCTTTGTTAATGAGTGCGATCAGTTAGCTTACAGTGGGTTTCTGTGGTGGCTCCAGTTCACCATCAGACCTCCATAATGGCACCAGTTGTGGTCACTTTTAGACACTGAAAGACCTCCACTAAAATCCTGCTGAACAAAGATTATTTAGCCACATTCCTTTGCATTTCCAGACATTTTATTAAATGTTTATGTGAAGATCTAATTCTGCTTGAGAGCTAATAAATATCTAAGCTAGAATAATTATGTCAGTAATATATTTTTGAGCAAACCTTAAGAAGGTACCTTGAGATTACAAACTATGACGTCCATCCTGAAGACTTCGATGTACAGCACTAACTACTGAATGCCATTCATGAGCTCTATACCTGACTGAGTAATGTGATTCTTTAAAGTGTGCACTATCTTGTTGGAAACCCTTTTTTTATTGTCACAATGTTAAACTTGCATGCAGCCACCCTTGGACTTATTATAACCAGAGAAATGCATCCTAAGAATCTGATATATGAAGACTTTCATCACAAGAGGTGGAAAATACTGATGTGTGAAAATGTAATGTGCACTTTTTCGGTCTTTTAAAAATACCATCCGTGGTGACCGACTTCCACACCTGTTGTCATTTTAAATAAGTGTCACATTTCACAAGTCTCATCTTGTAATGAAACTCCTCATATGTGAACTGCATTTTGTACGTTTCCACAGTTATGACATCAAGACAAAGCGGTGTGAGTTTTGCATGTAACCTTAGTTATAAAGCACCTACTGTAGTAAGCACATTGTGGACATTGTTGTGCTAGCTCAGGGAAAATACCATTTATTGTCTCTGATAGATGCTGTGGATTTAATAAGTAAACCTCAACTTTAACATCTCATTGCAGTCAGTTAACGCACCCGATTTCATTGTAACGGTTTAAGGATATTACCTGAACTCAATATTCTCCTCTTGTCAGTTTTTGTCTGTACATTTAACTGTAAGATATCGCACCGCGGTTGCTCAGTTTCTCTCTCTATTATGTATGCTGTGTCCTTTATAGTAATGTTTTCGGTGTTTTTGAATGCATCCCAGCATATTTGACGGTTTTAGCTGCTTTGCGATGTTTCTCTCCCTCACACCTTTGTCAGCTCCCTCGCCTCTCGTGTGTAGATATTTGCCAAAATACATATTGCCAAACACATCTCTGAGCTAAATCACATATACAGAAAATGAATGCAACTGAATCTACATATCAGACTTGTCATGGTGACTATAGCCATATTCATTTGAAACACTAGAGACAGTTTACAGTTTCATGTGATGTAGAATTATGGAGCACTGTAATGTTGCACAATATCATTAGTCATGTCATCTTACTGTATTTACCTCTTCTTTAAATCACTTGCTACATGTCTATGTTGAAGGTTATATCTGTCAAATTAAAGTCAGTGGACACACACAGGTTTAATAAATGAAAAATGTAGCGTACACAGGTGAGACGAGGTGATAATGGATCAGGGAACAGATTGGCTGTACTGATACGGGTAGATGGAGCATGGCGTCTGTGTTTTTAAAATGGCTCACATAATGAAGAGCGTCACTCTCACAAGAGTATTGTATTTTTTTAACATTTACTCTAATGCCCTGTATTTGTACTCAGCACTGATGAGTGTAATTTACCATTTATTGCACATATTGTTACTCACTATTGCAGTTATTCTCCTTCTAAATGTTTTTTTTTTTTCAGAACCCGATAATAACAGTGATGTTCTTGTGTGACAGTCACCTTAGCAGTACGAATTGAGAATTGTATATTGCTGATATTCTTTGTTTTATGTAAAAGAAGAAAGAAAAAATAAACTATTTCAATACTTATACAGCAGTAAGGAGGTTGCTTTATGGTTTGTTGTATTTGACTGAATTAATGTGGCTGTAAAAAAGCTCCATGTGGCATTTCATGCTAACATGGGAGACAGTTTTCCTCCCAGTTTGAGTGTCCACTTCAGACTCAGTCCAAATCTCTGTGCTTGCCAATATGAAAGATGGAAGCACTACAGAGCAGTGGGTCCACTTACTTTTCCAACTCTGCTACAACAATAAGTGTTGTATTTTTCATTAACTTCAAGGTAAACAACTCGCAGAATACCAACCAACATGTCATGGGCACTGGACCGATGTTTGTCAAACTGGAAGCAAACTCCTGCTGGGTTGCCAACAGTGCTGTCGGATGGAAACTAATGGGAAAAAACCAACACGGAAGAAGAATGGTTATTCTAAAATTGACATGGATTGCAGGAATTGGTGTGAGGTGAATATAGTGAAGCAAAACCGATGAGCGTCTGTATAAGAATTCCTCTTCAACACTGGCAGGCGGGGGTCACGACTCCTGTCTTCTGGTTAGTGTTGACATTTTTATCATCGGTCCATAACGCCACCCCCCTATACTCAAAGGAATGGTTTGACATTTTGGGAAATGCGTTTATTAATTGTCGTCCGAGAGTCAGTTGAGAAGATCAAAACTGCTGTCATGTCCGTTATGTTTGATATGAAGTTGGAGCCATGAAGATGTTTAGCTCAGCTTAGGGGGTTGTGTATATTACAGGTTATTTCTTGGCCACTGTGACTAAATTAAAACCATAACTTGTTGTTCTTCCATGTCAGTTTTATAAATGGATTGTACAAACCAGATATAACATTTCTTGTGTTGATAGACAGATTATAGACTGAGCCAGTATAGTTGTTTCCACCTGCTTCAAGTTTCTGTGCTACATTGCAAAAACAGCCTTTAAAACCAGATTGTTTTTCTTTTCAGACAGAAAATAAAAGACTAATTTCCCAGAAACGAGGCTTATTTACTTTCTTGAGATTCCTTATTATAAGTGTAAACTGAGCTAACCGTCTCCTGGCTGCAGTGTCATATTCAACAGACAGATATGAGAGCGTTGTCATTGTTTTTATCTACCCCTCAGCAGGAAGACCAATTAATGTAACTCCCAAAATTTAAAATTAGCCCTTTTATTGAGGCACCAGTAAGTAGTTTTGGTTTGCCTTTTGTTAATCTGAATTATACTAAATCAATATTTTGGTTGCTGTGTGCAGAAATACACTGAAAAACTCACGCAGTCTGGATAACTTTATGCTTCCTCGAAAATGTGTTTTGCTAATGCGAAACTACTTACTTACTGCCCTTTATCCTTACTGGCATGTATGGCGGCAACAAAGGATCTCTTGTCCTGTCTGATTATCCAGTGCAAAATATATGCATATAAACATAATTGATATGAGATAATATTGGCAGAAAAAAGCAGGGAACAAGCTCAAATAAAACTTCACAACTGCAGCCAAGGGAGCATTTCTCCCGCTCCGGGAAATATGTGAGCATTCAGGGTCTCGGGCCATCTGGTCCAGTTTTATCTCTGAATGCAAAACTCCCTTGAGCTCTGCGTATGACAAACCCAGTACCTACAGGAACCACTGCAGTGCTGTGACATTCTCAATTTGGGCACGGCTGGTAAACCAGACAGTGTTTACACTTTTAGCCAAATAAGATTTTTTTTCAGTGTCTCGCTCAAAGGTATTATGCAATAGTGTGCTAATCTTCCCTTGACAATTTTACATTTCTAAGATCTCAATTGCTGCACAGGGTAAAAACCAAACTACGTCTTATTCTAAGTGAGCCGATGGGCCTGATTGATGAGGTGAAAGGGTACAACTCTTCCGGTTATGTGCAGCTGAATCAGGTGCTTTTCAGAACAAGGACAAGGACGGCAGACTGTCCAAAGCCTGATTGATAATCTACAACGTGGCCAACAGAATATGTTAAGGGTAGCTGAATTTACAGTAAAACATTTTATGCACATAAAATTGCAACTACAACACAATGCCACTAAATCCGACTGGACCTTTTAACTATTGCTCCGAGCACAGGGTAATAACTGAAGGCAGATTATTTCTTCCCTCCAACAACTCAGATTCTCTTTCACCTGGACTGCTGTGGCTGAACAGAACAATGCTAAGAGATGTTTTAGTGGCAAAAATTAACTTTAACAATAAAACACAAGATTTGGCAAAGCGAAAGGGACATGTCACCCCCCATCCCTGGTGGAAATTATGCATTTGTCCTTGATGACAAACTTTTAAATACTGTCCTAAACTGCAAATCAGGTAAGCAAACAGCCTCTCAGGAAGTATGAAGGTTCCTGTAACCTTGTGCCGTTTTAGCTGTCAGAGTAAATGCTTTAAGTCCTGGAGTCTTACTGTCTTGGACATAATGACTCCCTTTTGATTTATAGACACTAATTTAATAACAAGGAAAGCATTATGATGCTTTTCCATAGACAAAAAGTCTCATATTTCACTTATAAACTGAGCTCATTTTGGACATTTAGTTCAAAAAGCTTTACTTCCTCTTTTAAGATGCAGGGCACATTATGTATGCAGGAGGCTTTTTTTCTGATCTGATGGTCAGTCATCCTTGATTAGTGTTGCTGTTTTAAAAAGCTCTATGCGTAATGCCTCCCAGTGTGCCATCAGTCATGTTATGACACTCAGAAGCTGCCATAGACAGAAACTCCACTGGTGCACATTTAAACTCTCCTAAATGCAGCATTGCTCTCAGTGCAGATGCCTGACTAAGACTGTATTTCATTCTAATGCAATGCATCAAAGTATAGTAAAACTCTCAAATTATAGTTGGAACATTTTTCTCCCAAAATACTGAACCATCTTTTAATCATCTGACAGCTTCAATAGCTGCCCGTTATGTCTTTTACTTTCATACCAGCAAGGTTTCACTTTAATTATCTTCCTGGACATCTCATTTCAGAGCAAAACACTTGTTATAAATCTTCTCATTGCCCAAAATTTAATGTAAATGACCGTTAGCTAATTTAAAGTTCGACCAAAGTAGGGATTCATAACATTTAAGTGTGTCTTAATGTGTAATTATCCAAGTTCCAATTAAGCTGATTAGCACAGTAAATCACAAACAACTTCTCCGCAGCCCCTTGACGCAGCGCTGACACAGTGTTTCATCCGCTAATTAAAACAGGTTGATCACAACGACTCTGAATGAAACTATCAGAGTTTAGACAGAGGATTGAAACAGGCTCAAATCTGCCTCCCTTTGAGACCAGTAAACAATGACAAAGCATAACGTGACCCTCCTTTGCTTCAGATCAGCAGTTTGCCCTGATATTGGTTTGTTCTGCACTGAAATCCTCTTTTCTATGCAGCAGAGTGCCAGTAGGTGTATTGAGGCATATACAGTATAAATTAGTTTGAAGAGCAGGTTGATACAGTGTCGGGATCGGCACCGAGGACCACAGCTATGAAGCAGGGTTGAGAAGAAATTGTTGAGCCAAGTTTCAGCCCTATATGAAATATTAGCCCACACTGTACAGCACTGAAGAGACTAATCCATCTTTTGAATTTGTGCAGGAGTATCCAACCGGTTTTTACCCCCCCAAGTGTTGCAGACAGTGTTATTAGTTTTTGAAAAGCCTTTGAAAAGTGCCTCACTTTACAGAGCCTTATCGCCGAGCTCTTTTGTGGCGGATTTCTGTGCCGTGCTGCCACACGCTGCACCAGACAGCAGTGTGCCTCTGTGTTTACCTTGAACTTATGATGCGTTTCACTGCCTGCAATATTTTCCCCGGGCACATGTTGTTTTAAGTCTTGTTTTATGATTTTGCTCATGTAGAAGTAGCCGTTAAGAGGTCCCACGATGAAACTTTGGTTTAATCATCCTGTGTTTATTTCCATTAAGAGCTCAGGACAAAAAAACAAACTAACCTGTGAACAAGAAACTGCAGTTTGAAAGAGTTAACCTTTGTTCATCCAGGTCTGTGCATACACATCATACAGTTCAGATGTACTGACTACTGTCACTTACTTTGACTCTTGTTTTATTATTCTGGATTTAAAAGTCCAGTGTTAAACATTTAGAAGGATCTATGGTATGTTTTTATCAGATCACCTTAAAATAGGAATTGTTATGTCTGTTACCTTCGAATGAGACGTGCTTTTCAAGTTTCGCAGCTTTCGTGGTTTCTCTGACAGCCCATTCTTTATAGCAGGTCGTCAAATACAGACATGAGTGGTGTTCAGTTGGTTGCTATCTGCAACTTCAACCAATAAATGCCACTAAATCCTACACACCGGTCTTTTATACAACCCTGAAGCTAGGCAAGAACGGCAATATTGTGCAATTTAGCAAAACCCAGGATTACGTACAGTGATTACAACACATTCATTAGTTGATTTATAATAAATAGAGGAAAAAGGTTGTTTGTTCTTTTATTTATGGGCCATGGCAGTCGTTCCCAATCATGGGGATGAAAATTAATCTAAATCACTTGTTTTATACAAATTTCCTGCAGTTACTGAGTTCACTGTTTGGGTTCATTGTGCAGTTTTTAATATAATATGAAATATCCATAAAATATGTAAATTAAGCAGTCGTCAGTTTAATAAATGATAGAAACGGTGTCCCTTAATGAAAAAGATTGGGAACCACTGGGCCAACCACTGGGCCAACCACGGGCAGCGATGGTAGAAGTGTAGAGATTCTGCTGTCCTTATGTCAACAGAGCGCTCGTTCCACTGTTGTGGATCCAAGACAGCAAACAACTGTAGTTTTATTGAGCAGTAGCTGGACCCCAGTGAGGGAGTAGCAAGCCGATTGGTCTTGATGTATAATGGCCCAAGAATACACTACTTCCTGCACTAACACTGAATCTAAATATATATCGTATATTGGCTGTTGGGCTTCATTTAAAGAATGATGCTGGTGATATTCTAGATTTTCCTGCCATAAATATGTCCAACTAAAAAGTATTGTCTGTGTATCACAGCCTAATATATCTTATTCCTTTGTGCCATAGAGCTCCCAAACCTAATTAAAAACACATCAATGAGCCACACTGTTGCACTGGGTGACATTTTCCTTCATCACCGTGAACACACACACTATATTTTATTTTTACTGAATCCCACATACACCATCCTGCTGCAGCACAGAACATGTGTTAATCCGCAGCTGAAAATAGTTCCCCAATTAATGCACTGTGTGTGTATTAGCCTCTCTTAAAAATGAAGCTGTATATTTGTGACATGTATTTAAAGATGGTCTTCAGTCTGAACCAATGGGCTTACGGCCATAGACAGGGACTGGCTCTCAGTCTGCCTCTCACTACCTTTCCACATTGAAAAGCTACTAACACAGTTTTTTTTAGACAATATAGAAACATCATTGATTTCATGTGCTGCACAGAAAGTGTTTTATTAAGGGTTATCTGGTTAAATAAAGGTTTAACTGTAGAATAGTTCAATAAACATAATCAATATTAACTTCTTGTCACAATAGCATCACTGATATTGTTTTTAACTTTATCCTGTATTGTTGTGCGAGCTTGGGAGCATCTCTAAGTTTGTTTGCTCCTTCTGATTCTCATAATAAAAGTAAAATAATACTTTAATAACAAAAGGAAAGAAGGTAGATGCTGTTGTATCTTTAATAGACTTCATATACTGAGTCAAATGGGGAATAGAGATAAAAGTGAAGCACGGTAATAAAGTGATTTTCAGCACTGAGATTACTAAAACTCTGATTAGAGTCTTTGGAGGTCAAAGCATTAAATCTGTCCTGTCAGTTTATAGTCTAGTTAATGTAAATTTATGAGCTATAAATACAGCAAATAAAGATTCTGGATTTATTTGGCTTTATAGGAAAGATTTAAGGTGGTCAGAAGAGCAAAAATGAAGGCTTCTTAGCCATTTAATCAGACTGATAGCATTATTTTATAGTTATGTGTTTGGGATTTTATTTACTTTTATGATTAGTTTTTACTGTAAAGCACTTTGTAACTTTGTTCAGAAAGGTGACATAAATAAAGTTTATGTTTCATTTTATATATATTTTGACATATCTTTCAAAGGTTATTCTTTTTACTGCCTTTGGCCTCTTTTTTCCTTCTTTGTGAAACTTTATTGATCCCCGTGGTGAAATCAGTTCCTTGAAGCAGCAAATTAAATGAGATTTAACACGAAATTCCTAAATATAAAATAAAATGCCCATTATAAACAAAAAGAACAACATAGAGAATAAACCAGGTTGAACGTCCCTCGGCATCGTTGTCAAAACACTGACTTTCTGATCACGTGGTAGACATACAGTCGCGCACAAGTGTGTGCGTGCGTCAGCGGCGGATAAGAGAGGTGAAGCATCGCAGGAGGTGTCAGGCTCACCATGCCCGGCTGCCAGCTGCTCTGTCTCTGCGCCTCAGACCCGGAGAACATCCGTCTCTCATGTTTGAGCTCAGAGTGTCAGTAAGCGGACCATGCGGCTGTTCACTGTCTCAACTTTGCTCCTGTTCTTCTGCAGCTCAGGTATGGACACACACAGCTTCTCTCTCTCTCTCTCTCTCTCTCTCTCAGCACTTCACGGGATTAAAAGGCGACTTTTAGGCTTTCGTTTCACACTAAAACTTCCAAACCCGCTTATCTTTTTCCTTTTGGAGATGGAGCGCAGTGGGAGACGCAGCGCGCACCGCTTGGAGCGATCAGCGCTCATCCAACGTTGTCTTTGTTTAAAGTTGAGCAGGTTTCTCATTTTGGCTCGTCGTTTTGATGATGGAAAGATGCATGTATTTGGATGTACTTAGCGTAAAGTGTCGGGTGCCACACCTTTACTACTGACATATGACAGAATAGTCTGTTAAAGCTCGCTGGGGCACTGCGCTCCTCTGAAACGATGCAGGTAAGTTTAAAGCCTGCTGATCAACACTGCGGAGCCCAGTATGACTCCTCTTTAAACTAACTGTGAAATATCTCCCTGAATTCCGCAGTGATCTCAGTGGCACAGTCAAGAGAAGCGTTTTTCTGCTGCTTATGGAATTTATTTCTTCAGCAGTGGTGGGAGAGGAGTAAAAGTACCTGTACAACAATGTTAAAATACTCCATTACAAATGTAAGTCATGTAAAAAAAGATGTAATATTTCATTCTGAATGGGGGGGTGACTAGATGCCTTACAGTAAAGAAAATGTTTTATTTACAGTCCACCACTTAAAATATTTATCCATAACTTCCAGTATTAAGTTCATAAACAGTTGCTGCTGATAAATGCATCACTGCCCATTACAAGTCTAAGTTTTACTGATAATATAAATAGGAGGTTTGATCAGTATGTGCATAAAATCTCATCCAGCTGCCCCTTTTCAGCACAGTAAGGTGTCTTAACGAGCAGCAAATGCAACATTCACTCTCATTTCTGATGTAAGAGCCTTGATATGTTCTTGGAAGTCTCTCTTATGAAAAGGTGGACTATTTCTCTGTACTGAGAGATGCTTGGACCTGGTCACTTACAGTGACTGCACCATAAATGCTGTGCATGCTATGATTTAGCAACATTAACATCAAAAGCCAAAATGCTTTAAATGTCACTTTAGTTGGAACAAAGTAATGGGTCGAAATGGGAATTCAATATGAGCTAGAGGCATTTCTAGTGGTGCATTGAAAACTGTTTACCACTCTGAATAAATTACTACTTTGAAGGACACTCAATGAAGCAAGTTTGCCATAAACAAGTTAGTTTTACAACAGAAAGTGAAATATCAATTCGTTTAAAGCAAGACGTGATGAAATGTTGCAACATGCCGCTAAAATAAATGTACCACCAGAAACTCAAAAGCAGATAAATAATTGAGCGTGTCTGTCACATCAATTTGAAATGGTTCGAGTGCAAGAAACCAGAAGTCAGAAATTTCACCAAAATGAAACAAAATTTCACTTTGAAATGAAAACTCTCTCAATGTTTTTTTTTATTTTTTTTATTCATGCTACTAGAGAAAATAAATTGAGTATGTAAATGAAAAAGAGGATGTGTTATGGTTGATGGTGGAGGCAATGTAACCAGCTCAGATGAAAATCATATATTAGAAATTGATAGATTTAATAATTTACCGTGTGTGTGTGTGTGCAGGCTGACTTAGGTTACTTTTGGGGACACAATTCAGACTAAAGACCAACTAATTGGGGAAGGCTTGTCCAGTTGGGGACAAAATCCCTGTCCCCAACTTGGACATAGTTGAGTCAGTGGGTGAGGTTAGGGTTAGACAAAAAGTAGTTATGGTTGAGTCTCCAGGAAATGAATGAATGCAAATGAACCCAAAAGTGTGTGTGTGTGTGTGTGTGTGTGTGTGTGTGTGTGTGTGTGTGTGTTTGCAGGGCTGGCTCTGCAGATTCAGTGCTACCAGTGTGAGGAGATGACACACGACTGCTCCACACCAGAGTTCATCGTCAACTGCACAGTGAACGTGCAGGACATGTGCCAGAAGGAGGTTCTGGTGAAGGATGATGGTAAGTCACATCTCCAGGATGGTTTGTTCCTTCTCTCTACTGTTACAAATATGTTCATCCCTGCTTATTTTTTCTGTCTGGATATCTCAGAGCAGAACAGACAGATTGGCCTTAATCCAAGAACATTGGATTAGATCTTGGTGGTGATTTGAATTTTGGGATTTTTGAATTGAGGAATTTGAATCTGAAGAGTATGCACTGAATAAATATAGCTTCAAACTAAACTGATGGTGATGTTTGTATGTGTTGTACATTCACCTTTGTGAGCACATTTTTGGACAGTGAGGACATTTTGGTCGGTCCTCAGTTCTTCAAAGGTCTGTTTGAGTTTGGGTTCACACTTGGTTTTAAAGTCTTCTGCATGTTTACGTGTTTCCAGATAAGGAGGGACTTGTCACTTGATTGGCGTTTACAGCGGCCAATAGCACTGAGAGTGTGTTATGTCAGTGAGCCAGACCCAAGATTGAACACAAGCTCTGAGACCGACAGTGCCAGTGTGACATGGAAAACATGGGGCCGAGGTGGTTTTCTTGCCAGATTTGGCTCCTGGCTAACGGCACCAGAGAGCTCCATAAATGACCTTGGTACTGTAACATTATTCCCTGTTGGTCTTGGTGTTCAATCCCCATTTGGTCCGGCTGCTGAGCCCGGTTCCATAGTCCAATAATGGTAGATACAGTTAACTTTAACTACTTGTTAAAGTAGCTCACCGCTAATTAACTGCTGCTATCAGTCCATCAGGAAACTCAGTTAAAGCTGAGCAGCCAGAGGACATCAGAGGGAAAACCAGAAAATATTTTCTCCATCAAATCAGTGAATACAGTAATCAGTGAGGCATAGACTTGTATCATACATTTACAAGAATTAGGTGTAGGCTAATGGTTGGGGTTAGGGATTTAGTTGTTTAGGGTAAGAAACTGAGGAATGCATTATGTCAAGAGTCCTCACAAAGATAGAAGTACAAGGTTTTGTGTTTGTGGGCATGATTAGTTTGTATTCTGCAATCATAGCATCAGGGTGTGCATTGTATTGCTCAGGCAGTTGTATTTTCTGAATCAATGGATGTTGTCATGTTTCTCAACAAAAAGACAGCAAGGGAACTGCTGCTGTTTATATTGCTGGCATGTTTGAAGTATCTGTTAACACAAAAAATCAGCACAAAGAGGGAGAGCTCTCCAGCATACTCAGCCAGAAGACAGGCGCTCTGTTGTGAGCTGATCTAAGGCCAGCAGGGGCAGACCCTTCAGTGCTCTAGAACTATCATTAGAGGATGAAAGTCTTAGCTGTATGTCAGTATTTGAAACAGAAGTCATGGATATAAACTATTCCATTTCCTTTGGAAGAGAAAATGTATCAGCTCATACTGTGCATACAATTGCAGGTATGTGTCCTTTGTGTGTGTTCATGTCCTTACAAAAACCTAAAATTCTGTCCAGCCCAGCCAGTGAAATAGAGTAACATCACAGTTTGAGGTAATGTAGAAACAGTGTCACCACTACCGAGCTGCAGCGAGGTCATATTCTTGCTATGTTTTCAGGAATTTCTGGGATTTTAGTAACTTACGGGCATAATATTACAAGAATTTTTATACTAACATTGGACTAAATAAAATGTGAAAGGGGTTGCTTGTGGTGACTCACAGATCATTTCCAGTTCCCATCAGATCTACAGAGCTTTTTAGTGACTTTCAGCTTGTTGTTTTGGTTTTTACGGCCCCGAACTTTATTGTTGTACACTTCTCATTAACCTAATTTCTCTAAACTCACTAGACAGACAAAGTTAGCAACTAGCTGTTGAACATAGATGATTTAGCAGCAAGAATTAGATATTTTTACTTTATTTTTTTTCTTACAGCAAAACAGCTAAAAGCAATAGGGATATTGTAATTGCACTGAACTGTTTGCTAGCATGTTAGCCATAACAACTTTATATGATTATAATACGTCAGTGTTGTGTTTGCATCTTGTTATGGTGCTCCCAAGTGACCAAAAAGTCAATTAATGCAGCCTGGAATGTGACTTTAAAATTTGAAAAAAATCATAAAATATTGATAACAGAACATTTTGATCTGCTGATGGTGCTATGTGAAAAGTCAGGGGATCACCAAGGTCAGTAGGATTCATCCTCTGGGTACAATGAATGTCTGGCCAGCTGATATTGCTATTGCTTTCTTAGAGCCACAATGAATACAGGCTGATACAACTTTGGATATCAGCCGGGCTCTGGAAAGACAACCACAACCAAACTGAACAGATAGTAAAAATTCTAGAAAGTGTTTTCCAGCTCATTCTCATTTCCGGGGCATCAAACACCATCGTTCATGCCCCTGGGCATCTCACAGATGCACAAGTTCAGCATTTGTATAAGACACACATGGTATTCATCTGACTCTAGTGTAACCCACCTATGTCAGGTGACAGTTTAAATAGATGGACGGTCTGAAAAGAGAATGTGTTGGTTTGTGTTTGGATACTGAAGACACATATGAAAGTGAATTGTCCTTTGCTACTTAAGGTCAAAGAAGCAATGAGCACCTGTCCAGTCTGGCTGTGGGAAGTTAATTATCTACCTGAGGTGTTGTTTTGTTTCATATTGAGCTTCTTTGCAACTGTTCAAGACAAAAAAAAAACAGCACCATTTGTTGTGGAGTGCAGAGGCGATGTTTGAAGGCTTTACAAGGCCATGACTCCAATCCTCTGTGTGAAACATTTAGAATAGACATATGGTACAGTAATTACTTTCCTATATTTGAAAAACAACATCATTAACTGCTTATTAGCTGCTGTCTTTTACATTCATTCAGTCACATTGCTTTTGTTTAGTGCACATAAGTTCATCTTATTCGGTAAAGATCTATAACCTCTATGCATGTAGGTTGGAATAAGAAGAATCTGAAGCTTTACGTTAATAGATTTTTAAGTATGGGGTATTCAGCCTCTGCATGTGCCTTTTTTAGTAAAGAATAATGTGCCTCTGCTGTGTTTATGTGCCTATTTGCTGTAGGTTGTAAGAACTGAGACACTAAAGGTCACTCTTATGCCCGAGGTCTACTTCGTTTTCACACCCAGCAAAAATGTCTTTTCCTTCTCTCTACTGCTGATGAGCAAAAGCAATAAGCTCCTGTCTTTGGAAATGTGGTTCCCAATCCAAAAGGGCAGGCACCCGGCTCTATGGAGTCGACAGTTCTTTAATAAGAAAATTTCCGCATGAATGCTCGTGTACGTCCCAGCCTTTATCTCCCAGTGTTATCGTTATTGCTGCTCTGCATGAAAAGGAGGGCTTAGAAATTCAACTGACCGCACCTTATCGCTGTTTGAAATGCAATAGATACATTCACAAATGCACTGCCACCTCTGTGCAATGTGCTTAAGTGATAAGAATAAAAATCAGTGGGGCTGTTGGTTTCTTTCTAAGTATACTTGCCCTGTGATTGCCTCTATAAGCCTGTGACTTTGCATATAGCTCTGTAATGTAGATGTAAAGGACGTAGAACATACTGTACGTCCTTGATTGGGTTATTTTCTTTCTCCTTGCTCAAAGATTAGTCCTTCTGCATGCTGGAGGGCGTTATACAATCCATCTCCCACAACCGAGCTCTCCAGCTGTGAAATAGGCTGCCTGGAAGAACGTTGAGGTGTCGCTCAACAGTGAAAATCCTCCAAGAGTAGAGAGACACACATGCCCAACCTCCACTCAGATCATGGCTATTTTTTCAGCCGGGCAGCATAAAATAAGCCCGGCTTCCTATCCAAGCACATCTTCTATTACTATCATCATCAGTCCCCTCTGATTATGTCTGGAGAAATTACAAAAGAGTGTGCTTTTACCCCGCTGACTACCGTTCTTCTCCCACTGTCTTTAAAGGAGGGATGATTGCCACGCTCCCGCAGGCCATCTCTCATTTCAATGTCCTCTGCCCTTCTTCTTTAAATGAGGGGTAGTAAGATGTGCTGTGATGAGGGATGTGAAATTGGCCTCCCTTCAATTTCTCAGAGGTAATTTTCAAGGGACAGTAACTAAATTAATGTAATAACACACAAACACACACCAAAACAGCACGAGTTTGCTGTAATCATTTTGCAGCTTATAATGTATAATATTTTTAAGTTTACAATGGATCAAATGACGTGTGATGTGTGTATGTGTGTCATGCCACAGAGAATTATACCTCAACTCTGCAGCTCCCCTCAGCACAATGAAGAGTTTGGGCATCTTTCAGCTCATTGTTTTGTTTTTTCTAGCCCACGAATGTACTGTTTGCTTCAGTGTCACAGCTCTCCTCAACTTCATCAGAACATAGCATCAGTTATATCAGAACTGGAGAGTATTTCTTCATTGACAGGAGAGCAAAGAACAGCACTGAAGGCTTCTCTCAATGGAAAAGTTGTATTTGCTCTCCACCCGACTGGCTTTGGTAAAAGATTTGGGTTTGTTAATCTGATTGGTTGAAGTTTGCTCATGATAGACAGTGATAGAGGGTGACAAACCATCCGGCGCAGTCAGGTTAAGCAGCAACATCACCACAAGCACTGTCCCAGAATGTTATGGTAAGGAAGCAAAGGAAAAAACACAGTTAGATTGACGAATAACTGGAGATAACTCTACCTCCTTGAGCAGCAAGAGCAACGCTATCTGATAGCTTCATGATTCTATAGTGAACCAACTGCCTGCACCCCAAACACTGCCTTAAATAAATGTTTGACATCATACAGAGTATGTCACAGCTGCTGTCTGTCACTGCAATCTCTCCCAGGGTTTGTATTCACACTGAAAATGTAAAATCGTCACAGTATGCACGGTGGCAGTGCACTGAGTGGAGCATCGATTATGAGACAAACAAACGTAATGATTCCCCTCGGATTCCTCTGAAAGGCAGCTGTCACTCAAACAATAATGGTTGATGAGTCAGCGCAGCATGTGTTGCACGGGATGTTGATGAAAATTGATAAATAGCATCTTACAAGCTGAGCAGAAAATTATATTGTTTGTCGTTGTTGTGA